AATTCCCAATAGTTTTCACAAGCGCCGGAAAAAACAACATACAAATTAAGGAAAAACAGGAATTTTTCCGCAAAATCGGTTTTCTAAAAAATCGTTGGTGCAACTCTAAAACAAATGAACGTATTTACATGAAAGTTTCACTGGTTGTTTATATTTGCAATTTCTATACACGATGAAATTTTCAAAATATTTTCATTTATTTTGAACTGTTTAGGGATATTTTCAGTTTCCAATTTTATTAGTTTTTTTTTTATGAATGTCAATACAATTTTATTTGTTGGTTAAAAAAGCTTGAAAATTTAATAGAAGGCTTCCTAGTATATTGTTTCAAAGGTAGATGAAAAATTATAAAAATTATTAGTCACAGTTTTTTTTTTTATAAGCATTTAAAGTTCAAAAATTGACAAAATATGGAAAAATCACGAAAATTATCAAAATATTTAGAGTTTAGAATTCGTAAAAATTTTTCTTTTTAAACCTAAGATATGAAAATGTAATACAAGCTTCCTCATAAGTTTGGCTACCTTTACCAAAAAAAAAAAAAATGTCTAAGAAAGTCAGATTAAATTTTTATGAGGGTTTGAAATTCAAATGTTCACAACATTTTATATTCACTCGATTTCTCATGTAGCGATTTCTTTATTTTGTTGTAATTCAAAAACGAATAACTGTATAAATATCAATTAAGTTTTATCTGTTGGGGCAAAAAGTGTAAAAATATAATACAAGGCTCCTGATATATAGTTACAATATCAGTTGAAAAATATTAAAAATACATAGGCACAATTTTTTTTTATAAGCACTTAAAAGTCGAATTTTGACAACATTTATCAAATTTAAAATTGAATAATTATTTTATAGTTAAAAATTTATAAATGTTCGACTTATATTTCTAAGGATTGAAAATTTACAGCCAGATTCCACGTAAGTAGTTTATTCTGTTACCAAAAAATCTAAAAAATACAGAAAGACAGTTTAATTTTATAGTAATTTTAAGTTCAAATTTGCACGAAATTACATAATAAAAAACCTAGAATAACTATTTTAGTTATTTTGTTGTGATTGTATAATATTATTCGTGGGTACTTGAAAGCACACTATTATATTCTATGATAGTATCACGGTTTGTTATTGATGTAAAACGCGTTATAAGTACCTAACGGATATTGTGGTATGATTAATTTGGAATTTATTATAGGTACCTATTATAGGTCAATTTTTTTTAATACCATAGATAAGTATATAATATGTCTTATACCTAGACTGACATATCATACCGTCTCCTTTCAGAATCGTTTTTCTTATACAATGATATTATATCATTGAATTCAAATTTAATACCATCCATTATACAGTGACCCACTTGTAACCTACTGTACAGCAGAGCACTTTTTTTCTTGAATTTCAATTCTGTGGCTCTATCAAAAAGCTTGCATATAGATGTCATTCACATACAAGTTGTACTTGTGACAATTTAATTAAAAATCACTATTATAAATTGTGTTAAATTTATGAACATAACAAAATATAGTGAAAAAAGATTGTTTATTGAATTAGACTTGATATTAATACATTTTTTAAACTACAATTTGTCAGATCTGATCTGACTCTGTTAATGTATTATTTTTAATAGGTATGAACAAATTTGTTCAGTTTATTCAACGAGTTTCAAATGTGATTGTATATTATGTATTGATTTAATTATTTTCCCAATACTAAGACAATTTAAGTGTATATTGCATAGTTATTTTACAGGATTAAATCAATTTACCTGTTGTCAGTATTCCTGTAGTAACTTTATAATTTCACAAAACACAATCGATTATATTCAGAAACTAATATATTTAATATAGTTTTTTTTAAATTACAAGTGTTTTTTTTATATAAATTTGTTTTTAAATTACAACATATTGCATTATACTACTTATACACTTTATCAAAACTAAGCATCTAAATTTAGTGCACAAAACATATACACATATTTTCTATATAAATAATATATTTGATCTCATAAATAATAATGATAAAAAAAAATTTAAATAAAGGTTAGGTATATAATTGTACAATGAAGAAAATTCAATAATACTGCTCGCGTGTTTATGATGTGTTGTGTGCTTACAAAACAAATTAAAAATATTTAACACTGTATGCATACAAAAAACGCTTATTGCAAGTATTTATGCTTAAACATAAAATTGTTGTACATAATAATATACTTGGAAGGAAAATACCTTTGGAAACTTTGTGAGTGCTAGTAACTTATTAATTAAATGCAAAACATCAGGTACATAAAGATTTACATATTTTAAGATGTTTGAACAAAATAATTTTCTACTAAAATGAACACTATTTGTATAATTAAAATAAAAATATAAAAAGGTAAAATGCATAGTTTGTCTAAAAAATAGGAACTATGTAGAAAAAAAATTAAAATTAAATGTTATTTTATGATCTTATGAACTGAGGTGGTGGAGGTGGTATAGACTTTGTTATAACAAAATAAAGTAAAAAATGAAGAAAAAAAAAATTTAAACATTTTAAGAATTTATCCATTTACATTATATACATATTTTACATAACAATATTGTGGTTGAACCATATTAATTATTTAGAATTTGTTTGTACTTTAAGTTGATAATTATTAAAAGTTATACTTGTACCTTCAATGATTGCGATTTTTCAAAAAAAAAATAAAATAAAATAAAACAAACAAACAATAATATGGGGTTCAATAATTCTAACACAAATTTGTTAAATGGGCTTAGATATTAAAATTATTTGCTACATAAAGTTATTGCCTTTTGTCTAAGTCTCATGTCCAACAAGGTTACAAATATATTGCTTTGAAAATGACATTGAACTATAGCGCACACAATTCTATCTAGCGTTTATTTTTATAAGCAAAACATAATATCATAATATTGTTTCTAGATAATTACCTCCCATTTCCTCCATAGTAGGAATTACATAACATATATTTTTGGTATTAGGAACAATATTACCACCGGAAAAATAAAACTTATGTAAGGTTCTAAATCATATAGGCAAGTCTAGTAAAATAATGTATAGCTACACGAAAAAGAACCCCTTTATAAACTAACTAGATGAATATTATTATACCCTACAAATTACATTAAAATTATTAATTTGAATAAATTCCTGCAATCGCATATTTGTACTTCAAGTGTTGGTTTAGTCTTGATGGCTTAATATCTAATGCAATAAGTGATGTAATAATAATAAATTATAGTTAAAAAAAAACAAACAGTAATATTGTACATTTTGTTTTTTAAAGCTATTAATGAGGTAGACAAATGTACTACAAAAAATAAAATTACAAAAAATAATAATAGTAATAATAATATGTTAATTTATATATATATATATATAATTATATATGAATATGTAAATAAATATTAAAAAAGTAACTAGGAACAAGACGTATAACTTTTTTTTTTATACATAGTTACATTTTATAAAATAGGAAAAATTGCACTCATTAACGGAATTAACTACTCGTAGTAATATGAGGTAGATTTTTTTTTAAAGATTTTACATTCAGACAGTATGTTTCTTATTGCTAATAATTAAACTTTTATAAATTATTGTATTATATAATATTTAATAATATATATATTTATATAAAATATAAATATATATATCTTTAGAGATCTTAGGTCAAGAGAGCAACATTGCATTTTTAAAATGAAATAATTATAATTTGTATATTCTTTGGAAAGTAATGTTATATATTTTATTCTATTACTGCATTTAAAGAGATAATAAACCACCCAGTATGAGTCTCATTGAACTGTTTTATGTGTTTAAAACCAGGAAGTATTTATTAAAATAGTAAGTCACGGGTAGCCAAGTGTAAGGCACATTTTTGTAAACGGTTTAGTTAGTAGTACATAAATATCTTGGTAGTTTGAGATAGGTAACTTTGGTAAAAATAATGGCATATTATAAACTATTTTTTAAACATATTGTATTATAATACTAAAACAAAATACTACAATCATTAAGGAAATACTATATTTATGATAATTATATCCATCATTTGTACTTAAAAAAAACTTTGGTATGAATTAAATTATAATACATGATTACATGGACGGCATGTAGTACCAATGTGTCATTAATTACGCAACCCTCAAAAATATTAAATGGTCACATAATTTATTTGTTATTGTTTGGAAACTCAGATATGCAGACATTTTGGTCCATAAAATAAATTATTATCAAGAGTGCCTATACTCTTATGTTAAACGAACACATATTTTGTACTGTTTTTTTTTTCTAATATATTATATACAATTGATTTGATTTGGATGATTCATTTTCACCTGTCAATTACAGTTACATATGGAGTGCCAAACTACTTTACTACGGGTCGAATGTTTTATGTTTTTATACAATTTTGGTAAGAAAAGCACATCAGTCGTTTGCATTATATATTAATAAGAGATTAACACCGTATACACAAATTGATATTATAAGAAATTAGTTACTCAAGTATCAGAAAACATAAAATGTATTAATAAGGAGTCTATGAGGAGTATATGTAAATATGAAAAATAACACCCTGTTTTCATGATACTCCAAATATATGGGATAAAAAATAAGTTTTTAAATGAAAGTTAATAATTTTTATACAAGAAAAACAAATCTTATTAATAATAAAGTAATTAAAAGGTTAGTTTTTGAATGTATTATTAATATTAGAGTTGTTTTTATTAATTAATGATTCATCAATCAACCTAAAACCACTCAACAAAGTAAAAAAAAATTATTAGTTTAAGAATAATAATTTTAACAAATGAGTTTTAGAAACAGCCTTTGAATCTATTTTATATAATTTTGGTTTATGTATTCAGAAAAATTGGCATATTTTTGTTGTGTATGTCTTTTGGAAATGTATTAAAAGTTATGACTCTGGGAGGATGGCACTATCATCTCTCTAAATGTACATCAGACCAATGTTGTTTTACTAATATAATTCAATAAGTCCTATTAAGTTCTCCGTGATCGTTGTGTTTCTTTTTTATATGCACTTGCAGGTTACCTTTCTGATGTGTTTTGAGCGGGCAGTATGGGCACTGGAAGGCTGGTTCTTTTCCACATTCAAGACGTTTGTGTAGACTTAAGCTGGTTTTAGAGCGATACCTTTTATCACAGTCGGGACATTGAAATATAGGTTCCTTGTCCCTATTATGTCTCCTGTGTCTTCCATAGCCATCATGACCAGATGCATCTGAACCAGAATCCTATGAGAAATATTTTGTTAGAAAAATTATTTTACCATCATCATTATGCATATACAGTGATTTTTTAAGCATGCTCACCCCCATTTTTTCTTTTAATATGACATTTATTTAAATTTCTTATATTTTTTTTACTACTTAAGGAGTGTCCATACAAACTTTTATTTTTCAAAAGAGATCCCCTTACTGCAAATTATTTAAAGGATGATTTTCTTTACATTGCTGACATTTCTAAATCAAAATACTGGCAAGTAGTTTCTGAGTTATTAAAATAGTTACATAAAATTTAAAACTACATGTAATATTTATTATACTCAGATAGTTTTTACAAATAATTTTTATTGATAAATGAAAAGTAAATACTCTGTCTAACTATTTCAAATCGTTTAAGCCTCCATATCTACTTAACCCATTATCATATAATACTTAGTACACAAAGTAATACAGCTCAAAAACTAATCGCTCTAATTTTGATTTAATTACATCAAAGTTCTCAAAAAAAAATATCTAAATGTACAGGTGGGGGTTTCCTATTTAAAGACAGAAGTTTATATTTTCACAGGATCATCCTTGAGTGGTACAAAAAAAAAAACCCAAGGATTTGAAAATATGGTCTTCAACTGTATTTAAGAATTTCAAAAACCAGAATTTAAATATATGTATAATTTAAGCATAAAAGTAGGGCGAGCTGCTTAAAAAATCACCTAGTATATATATATATTTTTAAACATAGTCTGGTTACTTGATATAATATCAATAATATAATAGTACTTTACCTGCATATCATAAAAATTTTGATTCATCAATGCTGGAATGCCAACCGACGCTGGGGCAATCTTTTCAAAATATCTTTGCGATATTGACAATGCATTGGTTGTGGTCCATGTTTTTGGCTGTTGCAGTTGTTGCGGTGTCTGTTGCTGATTATTCAAGTATTTAATTACACTTGACAAATGATGATAATTGATGTTGGTCAGATGATTATTCACCACACGCTGTGTGGCAGTAATTGTGGCCATTTCATCGCCTGTAACTGCAACCACTAGTTGTTAATATGAGGGGCACAGATGATAGATGAAGCTAAAGACATGCTCAGGTGCGAAACAAGAGCGTGCGAAAAGTATAAGCCAATTTCACAATAAATACTAGTAAGATTACTGCAAATACTACTGAACTACTAATACCAAAACCTACCAGTTAAAATAAAAAAGTACATATATAATTTTATTTATCAGATAGGTAAGATAATAATTTATCTATTTTAAAAATATTATATAAGTTGAATAATAGTTTCTGTCATTATTGGACATTTAACTCTTCATTTGATTTTTTAAAGTTAGATCCAGCTCTGTAAAAATATTTAATACTTTAAAAGTAAAAACTATGACAAGATGAGAAAAAAAGTATACAAAAAAATCAATCGATGTAAAAATATATCATTTTTAACTACACCTGTCTATAGATAAGTAAAGAAACGATTGTTTAATGTACATTATGAGTGGGATAATGATTTATTATTTTGATGATAATGCTGGTGACCTACTGTACGGTTTGGCTTGCATAACACCTGCAAAAAAAAAAGTGAATTAGTACATGTTTTAATTAAAAGAAAAAGGTACATAGGAATCATTATTAATATTCATAATAAATAAAAATAAATTATATATAACAATTAAAATATATATTTACATGTTTCAGGTAAATGTAACGAAATAATTGTTGAAGTAAAATTTGAATACTAATCAAAACAATAATTTGAAACTTGTAAGTACAATCTATAAAGAAAAAAACTTACAAAACCACCAAAATTATAATTTGTTTCAGGCTAACAAAAAAATAACCCGACAATTATATTACTTAAATAAAACTTTAATTACACATTTTATTAAATAAATAAAATACCATTAAAAACTAATCCATAATACTTTGGGTCATTTGTATAATACAAGACATATAACTAACAAGTAATTTGTCATCTTAATACTGTTATAAAATAAAACATTTTTCTTAAGTAGAAAAAAAATACATCAACAATTTTACAAAATAAAGATTTGTATACAATAGTGTTTGTTTTAAGTAAATATCTCAAGTTAAAGATTATTTGTACATGTATAATCTTAAATGGGACGGGAACGAGATTACAATTAAAAAAATATATCTCAACTTGTTCTATTAGCTTAATTATCACTTGGAAGACTCAATTTCATTTGTTTTGGTTTGCTAATACTATAGAATCATTTAATACTTTTCTAAAAATAATAATAATAATAATAATCATAAAAAAAATAAAATAAAAATAATAATAATAATAATAAAAAAACAAATACCTAAAATATAAATGTATTAATGAATTTGAAAAGAAAACTAATTTCGAAAAATATATATTTATAATTTAACAAAATAAAAATTGAATATGTACAAGCAAAATTGCTGAAAAAAATAATATTGATATAAATATATGCATTGCACGTTTATTGCAAATGGGTATTAAATATAATTGCAATTCAATTATGAAATAGGTAACGGTTTAAGTCTAGTGGGGGACGAAAGAAGTGGGCATTTCTTGGTCATATCAAAAGAGGTAGATAAAACTGGTTAATGTATGTAATTTAAGTATGTATATATTATAGTATCTTTTATATTATACATATTAACAAAAAAAACTAACAATTACAAATATGGGTAAAATTATTGTTAATATTATCAGTCAAGATTTATCATATGAGCATTAACAATTAATAAGAACACTCAATAATTTTGCATTTTATTTTTAATAAAAAACTACAATGAGACAGTAGGGAGGTATTGTGATAGGATATGACCATGGAAATTTAATAAATATAAATTTTATAAAAATTTAAATAAGTAGTAGCATGTGCCTAAAAAGACATGTAAAATTAAATTAAAACAAAAATACTGAGGGAAAAAATTGTCTTAATCGCTTTGGACATGTTGTGCTTTGACATGTGCCTGTACAACAGCTTGCGATTGTTCCTCATATTGGGTAGGGTGTTTTTTCTTAATATGTATGACCATATTGCCTTTTTGGTGACATTTTTGTGGACAAAAGGGACAATGGAACATAGGTTCCTTACCGCATTCTAACCGCCTATGCATAGCTAAGCCACGACTATATTTATATCGTTTTCCACAAGTTGGACACACCCATCGAGCTTCTTCAGGTGATCGGTTTGATGAATTTCGTATTCGCTTACCACCAGAACCACTGCTAGGTGTTGTTCGTATAGTAATGGTACCAGGATCTAGGTGATGAGGAAATAAGCCAGGTATTTCTTCTGTATCTTGAGATAACCATTCTTTTGTATGCAAACCAGTGAATTTGTAGTATTCGGTAAGTATTAAACGTCTCTGGTAGTCGATCAATTCAGCTATAAATACATAGCAAAAATTATAATTATAACATGTACAATAGATGTATTAATAACAGTACCCAAAACCTGGAGTAAATGATGGTAAGCTTGGAGAAGAAATGGAATCATTTTAATTGCCTTAAGAGATTTGAATAGAGGAAATTGAATAATGAAAAATGTTAATCCAGCACCTACATTGTTTTATTTTGAATGAACACCGATTGAAGCATATTAATAATAAGCGTACCCGCCTAATGAAATTATTTTTGTTAGTTTAATATAAGCTTACAAATTCACATCTTATGTGGATACTGTAAGGATGCAGTTTCCACAATAAAATGTATTGGAATTTGTATGTTTAATGTAAATCTATTATTATTATTTATTCTTTACAATTTAATATTGTTAGTTGGTTAGAATTATATGTATATAATTTTTTTCTTAAAAAGCTCAAGAATTCAATAGTTTATGTTTGTTTCACACATAGTAAACATTACCTGGAGTACTTTAGTGTTAATGTTGTATACTTGCTATTCCTTCAAAATTATATTTAATTTGTTGATTTCACATCTAGGTTTTAAATAATGGATTTATAATACTTAGATTTAAAAAAAATTGTTCTATTATCTAATGTTTCCAAATAAATCAAATATCATTCATATTATATACAATTTTCTAGTTGAAAATATAACTATTTTATAATACCTTTAACATAATTAAAAATCATACCTATTACAAAAACAAAAATTTAAATTATTGAATTTCCAATAAATATTCAACACAACATATTAAACAAATTAATATTTTGATATGTTTAATGCTGTAGAAACTAAAATTGTAAGAGAAATCAAAATGTCCAGTAATTTATTATTGATATGTTTATATATTATTTTTACATTTATCTATCAAGTTAATCTCACCTTATTTAAACAAAATATGTTTCATCAATACCAAAACACAACATAATATGTGTTTAATGTATTTATGAAATGCTTACTGCAACACATATGATATTTTAATGTATTTAAATTACTTAGATACATATTATATTCTAATTTTTTTCATATTATACACTTTTTAGACATTAAAATATTATCCTAAGCATATTTACTTTATATAAATAAAATATTTAGGTAAACTTAATTTAATCAAATAATATATGGACAGTGAATTTAGGAAGTGTATTAAAAGTAATATGATTTACAATCATGACACAAATTAATATTCTGCAATACTTATATAAATATAAGTGTAGTACTTTTCTGATATGTTTTTTTTTAATATACTTATTTTGAAATTAATTGTATATTTGTACTATAGTTAATATGTACATGGTTGATTTTATTCGGATTAAATTTTACTTGTTTCTTTTGTGTAACACATAATTTCTTTATGAATACTATTCAACTTATAAACCAATTTATTTTCTATTTATATTTGGATGTATAATTTAAAACAATAATAATCATTTATTTTCATAATAAGGCTAATCACTAATCAGTAACCATTATCAGTTTTAAAAATATAAAGCCTAAAGTAAATTAGGTCAATAAATAATATAGGGCATACAACTAAAACTTACTTCTTTAAATAATCATTATCCTTGTATCAGTAACGTTTTTTTCAACAAATAAACTAAATACTCATCAACTTATGACAATCTGTAAAAAAATAAAATTGTATTGTTTTAAACTAATATTCACATAATCATACAAACAAATCAATTTATTTATATTACTAACCCACTAGATAGATAGTTATTTCATACATTTTAAAATAGAAAACATTTAAATTTGTGTTGCAAAGATTCCGAAGCAATAATAATCAATGAAATCAGAAAAATTAGATAACATAAAAATATATTAAAACTGTTAGGTATTCAGCCAAATTAACTTTGTTAAAAAGAAAATCAATAATTTAATAGGTAGAATATAATTGCGTATGTTGTGATTTTTTACCCGCTCAAATTGTGTACAATAAAAAATATAAAATGGTTCACGTAATCTTTGAGGCAGATCCAGAAATCAAACAAATTTTGGTCAAATTACTTATAAGCTTCAGCAACACATACTAAATTTAAATAGGTGAACAAGTGATAATTTGTTAATATTAAACGACATTCAATGGTTGACCTCTCTTAAAATAAAGTTTAGAAAGACAATTTAAAACATTTGTGAGAAGAGCGGGAGATGAATCCATACGTTTCTCATCAATGTTAGATTACTGGAGATAGTCATAACTGTATTTTAGGAAATCAATAAATAATAGGCAGGCATCTTATAGACACAAGAGTTTAAGAAAGGCATTTCTATATTATCATATCTTATTTGATTTGTGTTACTGTACTCTACTTCTACTAGTAATTCGGTGGAACGTAGGTACTACATATAGCATTTTTGCTTTGTAATAACCATTAATTTAATTTTCATAAGTTTTTTTAGTTAAAATAATTTTTGTAATAGGTAGGTAGGTAAAAAAATTATCACCAAATGCATAAATTGAATGTATTTAAAACAAAAATATGATTACAATTTTAAAATATTATTACCCATATTTCCCACGATAATTTAAATGTGTGTACCCACATTATTTTGTTGCACATATACCAACAACGGTCAACAAATAAACGTACATAATCACTAACTCTG